GGATTCTCGTTAAGACGAGCTCGTCTTGCTGATGAGCAAGAGAATTAAGAAAGGGACGAAGGGTTTAACGAGGACTCTTGTCGGATCCCTCCGGGCGGAGTTAACGAACTCTCGTCCAATTCTTGCCACGTCGATTTGTCACCTTATTATTCGTCGTATAAATAACCGGATTGCGAGTATTCAACATTTTAATCAAAGAGAAAGATATTATGGAATAACGGGAATATGTATATGAGTTTGCGTTAGTATATTTTACAATATAAAAGGTACGATTAAAACCATTTCGGCCTCTCCTCTGTTATTTCAAAATCAATGCTCGCACGTAAAAGAGGGAAAATTCCATTAAAGCGTGCTCGCATCGCGATTGCATAATAACTCACTCGAAGATCTCGACCACGTTCGAGGTAATAGTTGCAAACCTGTGATAGAGGCGAACGATATTTCTCGAGCCGGATACTTGGAGCGTCTGGCTCGTGGCAGTTGGCTGACGGTTGGAATGTCGGATAAAAGCGACTGCTAGCGAGGGTGTCGCGAGGGTGCCGAGAGGAACGGAGAGGGACGACTACGACGAGGGGAGAGGAAAGAAGGTGGATGTAGTCTCTGCCCTCTCGCCACCTCACAGCCGACTAGTTTTTCGTTAGCTCGTCGTCCCGTGAAATCTGTCACATCCCGCCTGTAGCCTATAGCTGGTAACGGACGGACGGATGTGGACGGCGAGATGTCCCTCGTAACCATCGCCCTCGGCGCACATGTACATGCATGCTTCGTGCTTCGTCGTGTGCCAATGTTTGCATACACACACACGCGCGCGCGCGCGCACACACACACACACACACGCATGGCGCTCCCATGCGACGTTTATATATCGGGTGTGCGCTTTGACAAGCGCACTATTCGACGTAGTCATTCACCGACCGCAAACGTTCTCGATTGGCCGTGCTCGCCGACCGAACCGCCGCCTTGATTCAGAACGAGGTTACCAACACCGGCTTACACCCAGGGACGGGCGGGCAACAGGGTACATACAGCGGCCAGGTAAACCCTGAATGCATGAGATGGCCTCGTAATTACGCATGCTCCCGAGGAGAGATATAGCGCGGAGGAAATATGTGCGGTATGAATGGAGTGAGCGAATTTGCCCGGTGGCCAAGATGAAAACGTTGTTGCCCAATCATCCCTGATCGGTCGATCCCATAATTTGCTCCGACACGCACTTGGAACGATATCCTCCGTCTGTCGGAACAAACATACCTGTTTAATTTCGACGTATGTTGAAAGATCAGACGCGTATTCAGCGTCACCGGACGCGGAATAACTTTTTCAGTAGCGCCTCGAAAATTGCATTATGCGACGTCGAGAAAAAATTGATTCCTTTTTTCGAGGGGGACACGCCGGCTGATGCGTGAGTTAACTGTCAGTTCATAATATTTATGATCCTGACGTACGACAGGATTCCATATCAAACTGGATTACTAGTAGCGAAAATATAAAATGTTATATTAAATCGTGAAAATAAATAATTCATAATTATAATAAATAAATAAATAATTGATAGATGCTATTACGATCAAACACATAAAATAATTTACTCCTTATATTATTAATCTCTCTTTCATTTCATCTTTATTCTTTAAAATTTATTAAAATACGAGTGAAAGAGAAAAATATAGTGATAAAATTCTACCAGAGACGGACATCAATGCTGATTAAAACACTATAAAAAAAATGCACTTATCAGTGGTTATTAAAAGCATTATTTACGTTAAAAAGTATAGTATATAATTTAATAAAGTTTACATGAATACAATGACTAGATATTCGATGAAATGACCTTCCTTCGATTTTATATTTCACGTGCTTTTTCCAATTAAATCTTCACGCTTTCGTCACGCAGATCCATATTTCCTGTTTTACAATAGCGACTTGAGATTAAGAGATATTTTATGTTCATAAGATATTGATGTTATATTTTACTAACACTCTTTTACTAATTTAAAATTACGCTATATAAAATATCATATCTTAAAAATTTATTCAGATGTAAAATGCTGGATATTATAAAAATTCTTTTACATAAACTGAAGATATGTAGCAAACAGCTGTAAAAATATTACGATTGAAAATATACTTCAGTAAACAAGTATATTACTCTAAAGTCAATATATGGTTTCTCTCGAATGCAAACTAATTCATGTGATGGCAAAAAAAAGTGAACAGAATGCTTTTCTTTAATTTTAGAATATAAACACATAAAAGGTTCAGGAAAATATTGCAACTGCTAGTTTGAAAACTGAAAAAAGTTTTTGAAACCACCCACATTCCAATCGATCCTTATCTATGACAAGAAGATCATGGTTGAGAGGCAGGCTGGTTTCTGAGATTACAAAAGTTATGCCGCGAGCTAAGCTGAAGTAGAAGAAAAAACATGAAAATGCGAGATGCACTTGAGAGTACGAGCTTGAAAATGATCGATAAGAAGAAGACCGAGACGCGAACATATCCTGCCGCTTACAAACTTCTCAACTCAAAGCAGGATGTAGTTCCCTTCTATTGTAAAATCCCTTAGGCACGCTCTAATCTAGCATGCTGAAATTACGGCAATTCTCACCTATAGACTTTACAGTTTTTCGAAGCGCGGACGCGGCGAGAAACGATAATGTACCCGACGAAAGTCGCGAATTGCCATGCGATATGCGATACTAGTAACGGCGTGCGCCGTGAACAAGATGAATTAAGAGAGAAAATGAAGCAGCTCCGGATTATATCAATTCGCAAACTTTTCCCTCCAACGATTAAGAAACGATTAATTAGGTTTTTCTTGATTGTGCGCGAAGGTCGATCGCGTTCAAAAATGTAAAGCTGTGGAACTTGTAAATACGAAGGGAGAAAGATAGTTTACGGGGACATTACATTTTATACAATTGTATAGAGAATTTTTAAAAATACGAAAATGAGAAAATATAAATGCGTTGGTAAAAGATTTTTTTAACCGAGCGCGAATTTATAAGGGCTTTAAAAGAAAGTGCTTCAAAAATTAATGTAGCTGATTTTCGTCTTGTAATATTTTTTTCCCATTTTTATATTATGTATGATGTATTTCAATTATAAATTCCAAACTTTTCAGAGCTCAATCACATCTGTATCGCGTTGACCAAAGTACAAGATTCTAGGACAGGTATAACGTATCGATTAATAAATCAAACGCCGCTTCAATTCAGATGGTTACATATTGACATAAGGAATCTAGATTAGGAGGAAACCGGTACAACACCCTGTACGACACCCGATAGACTTATTGCGTGTACAAAGGGCGCTCCATGTGTTAGGAACCTGGAACGTTGATCGAGCGGCTGTCACCTGTACGACAAAGCGCCATACCGAAATTCCTGCTTGCATTAAACACAGATATGTGATACTATACATTGTTCACGCAAATATCGATTTCTCTAAAGAGCAAACGTGCAAATGCACAAACAACTTTGGAAATTTTCACGTTTTCTTAAAGCTGTGACTGAAAAATCGGTCTTCTTTTTGTTTTGTTTTTTTTTGTAAAAACATTTTTTAAGAAAGAGATATTACATTTTTGCACACTTTATTTCGCACGCTATGTAAATTAAAAGAGATTGAAAGAAGGAGAAGGCAAAAAAGAATTATAATATATTGCATATAAAGCCTTTAGTACGTAAAGATTTGAAGTCAATTTCTCCTCAACATTCAGTTTATACGCAAAAAGATCATTGTGTGCGTTTCTCTCGGATATTCATGGAATTCTCTACAAAATTGCACGTCATCGTGTTGCGTCGTATCGAACATTGAATAACGTTAAACACATGGAAAGCATCGGAACACAGCTGTCTGCTTTTTACACGCTGTTGAAAGCCATTCAAAACCGATCTTAACCTGTCGCGGAATAAGCAACCGTGACTTTTGTAACAAATCCCCGCTCGGCGAGACAAAATAAACGGTGCGAGACGTGGCGTGGACGTTTCTCTAATTACCGCGGCCTGGGCGAATCGTAAAGGACTTTGCTACTGCGAGAGCGGGAGCGCCGGCCCAGCTTATACGACGTATCCAGGACGTGTTCGGTTCCTTTTTCTCTACCGCGCAACAAGGATTCTCGTTAAGACGAGCTCGTCTTGCTGATGAGCAAGAGAATTAAGAAAGGGACGAAGGGTTTAACGAGGACTCTTGTCGGATCCCTCCGGGCGGAGTTAACGAACTCTCGTCCAATTCTTGCCACGTCGATTTGTCACCTTATTATTCGTCGTATAAATAACCGGATTGCGAGTATTCAACATTTTAATCAAAGAGAAAGATATTATGGAATAACGGGAATATGTATATGAGTTTGCGTTAGTATATTTTACAATATAAAAGGTACGATTAAAACCATTTCGGCCTCTCCTCTGTTATTTCAAAATCAATGCTCGCACGTAAAAGAGGGAAAATTCCATTAAAGCGTGCTCGCATCGCGATTGCATAATAACTCACTCGAAGATCTCGACCACGTTCGAGGTAATAGTTGCAAACCTGTGATAGAGGCGAACGATATTTCTCGAGCCGGATACTTGGAGCGTCTGGCTCGTGGCAGTTGGCTGACGGTTGGAATGTCGGATAAAAGCGACTGCTAGCGAGGGTGTCGCGAGGGTGCCGAGAGGAACGGAGAGGGACGACTACGACGAGGGGAGAGGAAAGAAGGTGGATGTAGTCTCTGCCCTCTCGCCACCTCACAGCCGACTAGTTTTTCGTTAGCTCGTCGTCCCGTGAAATCTGTCACATCCCGCCTGTAGCCTATAGCTGGTAACGGACGGACGGATGTGGACGGCGAGATGTCCCTCGTAACCATCGCCCTCGGCGCACATGTACATGCATGCTTCGTGCTTCGTCGTGTGCCAATGTTTGCATACACACGCACGCGCACGCGCGCGCGCACACACACACACACACACGCATGGCGCTCCCATGCGACGTTTATATATCGGGTGTGCGCTTTGACAAGCGCACTATTCGACGTAGTCATTCACCGACCGCAAACGTTCTCGATTGGCCGTGCTCGCCGACCGAACCGCCGCCTTGATTCAGAACGAGGTTACCAACACCGGCTTACACCCAGGGACGGGCGGGCAACAGGGTACATACAGCGGCCAGGTAAACCCTGAATGCATGAGATGGCCTCGTAATTACGCATGCTCCCGAGGAGAGATATAGCGCGGAGGAAATATGTGCGGTATGAATGGAGTGAGCGAATTTGCCCGGTGGCCAAGATGAAAACGTTGTTGCCCAATCATCCCTGATCGGTCGATCCCATAATTTGCTCCGACACGCACTTGGAACGATATCCTCCGTCTGTCGGAACAAACATACCTGTTTAGTGTGTGACTCCCATGTCGCGCGTTCAATTCAGACATGAATTTAATTCGCGAAGATAGATTTATCGCGAGAGAAAAAAAAACTCTCTTCGCATGTCGCAAAAATGAAAGATTTCCGTCTCTGTTATGTTTGCTGGTTTACCGCGATATAATCTCGAAATATAAGTTGAGTAAACTTGAGTTTCCATAACATCGAAGATGTAAAGTAAGCAAAATGTAGACAAAACACGTGCGTTGCTCGCTGCAGAAGGCAAATGAATATTAGCAGTAAGAAAATCCGTGCGAATCCTCCTTTTGGTGCAAAATAGAACTTGAGTGTAAATTTATAGAGTGGTAATATATGGATATAATAAATAGAATTGTTAAATAGAAAAATACATGCAACAAAAATCGATTATATTCTTCCAATTGTTCTCGAGATTATGTTTAAAGATATAAAATTTTTTTTATATAAATATATAATTATAAGATTTTCTTTTAAGTGATCAAGTAACACGATTTAAAGAGCGACAATTCGAGAAGTACGTATATAGCGGTCGTATAAAGAATCATACGCCGGAATGTTTAAACATCCGCCAATCTTAACAATTGCTCTCGTATTTATTGCGTGCAATCTACGCATCGAGACGAATGACACCTGTCGCGAATCACACGCGTCTTCCGCACAGTTTGTTGCCTTTTGCTTTATGTGCAATCGTTTCCGACTTGGATTATTTACATTAGAGTTATTAACACATGTGGTAGATAAATATTGAATATATGAGGGAACTTTGTTAAGAGCTACATACTCTCATTTCGAGGTGACAAACGTATGTATGTACATATGCATACATGCACGTTTAGCATGCAACATAGAAGAGGAACATAAACTTGATGTGTCACTAATAAAAGAGGACAATGAAGCTCGTCGGAATTATCAGACATTCGGCAAATACGTAGACGCTTAGGATTAGAAGCGATAAAGGCAATATCTCTCAAAATTGCGTTAAGATTCGCGACTAAATTTTTATATCGTACGCTCGGAGAAATTCTTGACTGAAAGATTAATATCTTGTCGGAACGCGGAGAACCGCGTCGCAGAAATGCGAAGATTGTCACTCGGAAGGAAGCCTGGAATCTCTCACGGGATTAATACGTCAAAAGGATGAAATTTCGATATTTCGCGACGATATATTCTATCCATAAGATCTTCATATGTGTTTATTCATCATCTCTTACACATTGCAAAATATCTGCAATCTGTGAATCTCTTCGTCAGCTTTTCACGTTTTCCTTCATAAAACGAACTATTGTGCGAAACAATGGTGTAAAATTCATGTTTCTTTAGGGAATAAAAGAAATTTCAAAGCTAATGTAAATTTCCAGTTTATTACAGTAATTTTTATGTGGTTCTACAAAAGCAAATACATAGTATTACCTATATATTCTGTCGAGAATGGATCTATCTCGAATGAAAATATCATGAAAAATATTTGAAATTTTCATTTAAAAATAATCCACGAGTTTGTATTTAATCCAAAGAACGGTGCAGAGCGTGGAGCATCCTATATACATGCTCACAGGGAAAAAAAAAAGAAATAATCGCAACATCAACGCACCGAAGGTATCGACAGGCCTATCGTTTTGCGACTTTGTGTCGGCAAACACGAGTTGCGCTTTCTCGCCGCTGGTAACGCCGATATCTCCCTGCAACCCTTCCCTCCCCCCCTCCCACCTTCCTCCTGTATATTTATGTATATCGCATTATGCACGCGACGCGAAAGTGTTGGTAAACACGGCGTGTACGTGTATGGGTTATGGTGTGACGGAATGGCGTTGGTATGGTATAAAGCGGCCTGGTAGGGGCGGTTTAGAACCTATCGATCACAAGCCTCGTCCACGATACGGCGTACCACCTCGTTTCGCAACCTATTTCTGCAAGTCTCGAACGCGAACAGGGGAAAGAGAGAGAGAGAGAGAGAGAGAGAGAGAGTGCGAGGGAGAAAAATCATAAGAGTTGAAGATGAAAAGTAAGCGCGGGGAATGGGAATCGTCAATCATGCGGATCGTAATACTGTTTCGATATAGGTATTTCCGCGCGGAAAACTCCCAAAGCTGCACGATAAAACGTATTTTCTCCAATGTGTGTGTCTCATAAGTATAATCCTACGGTACTATTACTCTGAAAGATTAAATTGTCCATATCTCGCGTAAAATGTGCTCTTGTACATATGTGACATTTGATGTAGGAATGTCGCGTTATATATTGTTGCTCATATACAGATATACCGGTTACGAATGCCTGCATCGATGTTTGAAATGTACTCGTGACATTTTGAAATAACTCTGGACGGATATTTTTTGTAAAAAATAATTCTGTCAATATTTTGTCTTATTTTTTTTAGCGTACAAATAACATATTTTGATATCACACATTTGATATCACACATTTGATAACCAGACATAGCTTGTAGAAATTGAAGGAATAGATATATCTCAAAGAAATTTTGAAAATAATTTGAAATGTATTGAGAGAGAACCCTTAATATCATGAAACGTTGAAAATGAGGTATTATGAATAATCGAATAGCCTTTGAGAGGAGCGATGGTTAACCGTACACCTCTACATTTTAGAAGCGTTACTAAGGCAACAAGCAATATTCCGCTTCCCGTAATTGAATTTATTGTGCGGAATCTTATTGTCAAGAATGCGTCCGATATTATCGTTGCAATTTATCGGTATCCATGCTATGTAGGATTTATTTCTTAAGAAATATTCGAATTATTTATAATCTATTATTGGCACAATCTTTGAAGCTTTATTTATAATATGCTTTTATGATCTTCTCAGTACGAATCATGAACATTGTCTGAACAAAAAATTTCGATAGTAGAATTCACATACAGAAAAGATCAGGAATGCTGCGGAAATAACATTGTAGTATTCGTATCTTTGCATACTATACACACACATACGCACAGATATGCACATGTCCAAGAAATATACGAAACAAAGCAAGCGCACCGACTGGACGTATATAATAAAGTTGTATTGTGTACAGCATATTGTTACGAATATATTTCGTAGTTTTATCGCCAAAGACTTTTAGAGTGCAACGTACTATAAAATTTACATGTAATTAAAATAAAAAATGAGAAAGAGGCGATAAAAGCCAATGCCTCCTTCACATTTTTTATTTATAATTATCAGAATCTTATTTGAATTATTTAATTAAAAAATCACGACCATCATATGTATTAATTTACGCGCGCGTTTCATATTTCATATTTTAAAAAATTAAAAGGTAAAGACTAGAATTTAAACCAAATGTCCATTATTCTCTTTTTAAAATAGATAAACATCAAATATACATATATAATAATACTAGTATATAAATTACACAAAAAAATATTGGATTTATTTTATTTACTATAGAAATGATTATTCTGTAATAAAGTTGGAGCCGAGAAGTAAATCTTTTTTATTTAATCACATCTCGGGCCTGTTACATCGAAACTTTTCGATTTACATTAACGATGTAATCATATACTCTGATAGCTTATGAGGATAAGCTTGAATGATTGTTTCGCCGGTGATTTAGATGATCGATCAACTCGATAACCACGTCTCTTTAAAGCTTGAAACTAACAACAAAGAAAACACGGATGCAAAAGGGTATCTAAACTTCGAAACATATTTATTTCATACATAAAGAGTGTATAAACATTTTTTAAATATTATCCTCAAATGTATACCACCACAAATACATCTTTCATCTATTATACGCACAGTTACACAAATCAATTCATGCCTGCAGCCATATGTTTAAATGATTAAACGAAACTTAATCACAACATGTATTCTTGCAAGCTTTGAGGAATATTATCTTGCGCATAACGTCCAATTCGTGAAATCAGAGTTTATATCCAACACGCTGCAATATTTTTGTAGACATCGAGTAATATCACAGAGTGTAAAACATATCTTATACATTAATCTTTCGAGCGCAATTTATGCTTTAGAAATTTTACACTAACTTTAATTCTAAAAGAATATTTCGGAATATTAAAAAAAATTATAATTTATAAAGAATCGAAATCTCAGGGAAAGAAGAGAAAAATATCAGTCATGACATTTCGAATGTACGAATAAGAGAAAGTGAAACGATTCGAATAACAAGTAGGCGTTATCAATCACAGGGGACGCATCTATTATTCGTCGCGTCTGCTCGATTATCAGCGGCGGCATAAAGAATGAAAGTAAAATAAACCATCCTGTCATGCTAACTTACAGCTTGCTTTAAAAAATATATTGTATATATAAACGGGCGGGGTCGCATCTTTAACGGTAACAAAGACCCCGGCAACGCGTACACTGCAACAGTACCGTGTATCTATACATAACTGTAAAAAATCAATATATCTATGCGTTTTTCTCTGCACAACACGCTTAACTTACGGTCGCAATTTTTAAAAATATTCACCCTTGCTTTCACTCAAAGTATAATAAAATCCGCAGCTGTCTCGCGTGCGTGGAAAAATTGATAGATCTGACGCTATCCGCAACAAGTCAAACTCGCTTTGTGAGTTGTAATGATGGACGATGAAAAATCTGTCTGCACACACACATATGAAACTTTTATTTCCTATTTTTTATATAACTAATGCAATTTTATAAATACGAGGAATATAATAAAGGCGTAACTTTTATATTAAAAAAAAACACAGATATGAAATTGTTTTACATATTTACACATGTTTGTATTAAATAGTTTTTTCTTTAATTATATTTTACATTAT